TGGTTTAACTTTTTTACATTGAATTTGGATCAATATTTGTTCTAATACTCATTTTTGAGCGAGACCAATTAGGTGGCTGAAGATATATTGTGAACACATGACGTATTTGTAGTTGTGATATATTGATTTTTTAATTTCCAATTTTACCCGTTATTTGATTAAATAACACAAAATGACAATGATGAAGATGAACTCTATGATAACGCAAAAAGAAACTAAGAAAACAGAGAGGTGCAGAAGAACAAGCAACCGAAACAACCGATTCTATTCTAGACAAAAAGGTGCATATGATAGACGATTTGTAGTAAAAATGAAATTGATTGTTGATGAAAAAACTGAGTAATTTCTGACAATACGATCTTGGCAGAAGATGGATATAAAAAAAGCATCCATAGATTACTGCCTTTCTCTACTGCAGACAGATACAAAAGACGTCCTTTTCATTTGTGGTGGAGCATTTGTTGGTTTGGAAGGAACCATATTGAGACGTGATTTCTACATTTTTTTCCACTAAATTCTTTTTGTAAAATAAAAGTTCTTTTGTTTTTTCATATATTAAGTTTAAACTCAAATGTGTATATCAGACGACGAGACTCTTCGATTGGTTTTGGAGTACATGTTCATGCTAATATGAGAAGCGCTAAACTGACTGATGCTAAGTGACATCATCCTTAATTGAATCTGTCCTTACTTAGGGTACCGTTGATTAAAATACCCTTTGAAAGTCATATATTTCAATATAATCATCACCACTTAATTTGTCATATGATACATTGCCTTACTTTTACCAACTTAGTCAAGACTTTGCACTAGGTTAATGTGCTGTTCAAACTTTGCCAGCCTAATAGGCTAATATAGTGCAATTTCTTGTAACTGTCACAAAAAATAAACCCTTATTTCTAATCACTATGTTTTTAGTTAGTTTAAGTTTTGCAATTCTATTTAGGCAACATAAAAAATTGAAAAAAAAAACTTTTTATCCACAATAGTAATATACTTGATATCTATTAGGCCGGACGGAATGGTATGCGGGGAGGGGTGCGGGAAGCGTCCCGCATGCGGGAACACCGCACCGTCGGTGCAGGAAGCGAAGCGCGGGAAAGGGGGTGGGGGTGGGGATGCCGCTTCTCACTCTTCATGCTATTCGTCTGTTATTTTTTTTTTCTTTTTTTGCTTCAAACGGCTATATATATATATATATATATATACATTAACGGCTATATATATATATATATTCTTTTATTAAATTATAAATACCACAACATCCAACCATTTTTTTAATCCATACCTTATAATTCTCTTCAAAAAATATTAATCAAAATGTCATCATCTTCATCATCCGATTCGACGGCTCTAGAGGAGGCTAAGTTTATCGGTTCCGTCATGGTGAAAACGGTTGCATACTATCAAAACCGACTAGGCGAAACATCACGTGCACGATCTAAACCAAGAAAGCCGCGGTTACGTAGAAATCATGAAGCCGAACACGATCGTCTTATAGAAGATTACTTTGCAGATGACGCCATCTACGCTGTAAAGTTTCGACGCCGGTTCCGGATGAGGAAGGAACTATTCTTACGTATTGTTGGCGATTTGGAAGGCCGCTTTCCATATTTCCAATGGAAAATGGATGCGAGGCGGATAAAATGTTTCTCTCCCATTCAAAAATGCACGGCAGCAATTCGTTAGTTAGCATATGGCATGGGCGCAGACAAATGGGACGAGTATTTTAGGATGTCAGAGTGTACCGTGCGGGAGTGTGTACAAGTTCTGCAAAGCGATCTGTTTGGTTTACGGGCAACGATATTTGCGCAAACCAACTATCAACGATATCCACCAATTGTACACGGTGAATGAAGGCAAGCATGGATTCCCTGAAATGCTTGGTAGTATCGATTGCATGCATTGGGGTTGGTCATTATGCCCCGACGCATGGCGTGGTCAGTATATGAGAGGCGACCACAAAGAGCCGACGATCGTTCTAGAAGCTATCGCATCACATGATCTTTGGATATGGCATGCATTCTTTGGTCCAGCTGGTGCAAACAATGACATCAATGTGCTAGACCAGTCATCGGTATTCAACGATATCTACCTTGGAAAGTCGCACGATGTACCTTTTCAAGCAAATGGGGTAGCATATAAGCATGGATATCATCTTACTGACGGTATATATCCTCCCTTGTCTGTTTTTGTGAAATCGTTTACATGTCCTAACGACCCGAAAAGGAAAAAGTTTAAAGAGGCGCAAGAGTCGGCTAGGAAGGATGTGGAGCGAACATTTGGTGTACTTAAGAGACGTTGGCAAGTACTAGCAATCGGGGCAAGGTCATATGAAGTGAAAATGTTACAGCACGTAATGTATGCGTGTATCATATTGCATAATATGATTCTTGAAGATGAAGGAAGAGCGATATGTCGATACAACGAAAATGAAGTTTTGCCAAATGTCGAAGGAGTAGCCGTTGGTACACAAGAGTATAGGGCGAATAAAAGAGAAGTACACAATCGCGACATTCATCATGCCCTTCGTGCTGATTTGGTGGAACACATTTATAGGGCTCATATTCAGCCCCCGGTAGAGTTTTCTCACGATGATTTGTTTGACGAATCAGACAAGGATTCTGATATGTTCATCGAGAGCGAAGATTCCGATGACGAGAGTGACGTTCGGGAGAATGATGAAGACGATGAGGTCGATGACGAGGACGATGATTCCGAGTGACGTATTTTGTTTTTTTTTTAAAATTAGGATATTAAGGGGCTGTTTGTTTACCTCTTAATTGAAAAATTAAGAGGTAACCTCTTAAAAATTCAGATATGCTATGTTTGGTAGCCTCTTATAAAATGTCTCTTAATTTGATAAATGCCTCTTAAAAAATCAGACATACAGCGGCATCTGAAAAAGAAAAAAAGATGTTTGTGGGTTGTTTGATTTTTTGTTTGCATTTTTTTTAATTTTCTACTTATTTAAATATTAGGTTTAATGTAATTTTTATTTTAATTAATGAAATGCTTTTTATTTTTAATTAAATTTTATGTTTAGTATTAATTTAAAAATTATAAATCATAAAAAAATTAATTTTATTTAAAAAAAAAATATAGTAAGGGAAGCTCATCCCACCCATTCCTTGGGTTTTAGGTGAGGGAAAGGAAAGTGGGAGAAAAAGTGGTATGACCCACAAAAAGTGAGGGAAACTTCCCTCCCACTCCCTCGAGTCTTACATGTAATGATAGTCAGGGGCGTAGCTAGTAACATTTAGCTTGTAACATAGAAGATAGGTCCTAAGACCTATCTTTTTTATTTTTCAACAGAGGAATGTATTAATTAAAAAAACAAATGAAGTACCTTAATACATTATCAAAGGACCTATCTAAGAATAGCCCAACATCTTAACCCATAGCCCAATCCACTCTTATTAATCATTTGTCCAATCCATTTAATATAGAAAAAAAGAAAGAAAGAAAATAGAAACATGGCAGGGCGCAACACCGGTTGATAACAAAATTTTGACAATAGTTATTAGTTTCATGCTTCGTAACATTCAATTTCATTTTTCAATTTCAAAATAAAAAATGTCCTATTTTTGAGTGATAGTTTAGTGCCATATATTTTAGTGATAGTTTAGTGTCGTATATTGAAAAAAAAAATTGAAAGTTGAGTATAGTTTACTGTCGTATATTGAAAAAATGTCTTACAAATTATCGACAACGACATAATTATGAATATGTTTCAAGATATAAAACATCTTAGGGTTCAATTGTAAGAATTTTATTATAACTATTGAAGTGATGTTGAAATATTTTTAGGCATACAACCCGATCCGCCATCACTAGTATTTTTTTTTTCTCTTTCATATTTTTTTAGTTTTATTTACATAAGGAACCACGTTGTTTTTTGGTTGTAGATTCGCCACTGATGATAGTGTAACTACATCTCTCTAACACTAATACAAATATATAATCTGAAATTTGTAAAATGCTTACAAGTTCTATTTTACATATTCCTATTATCGGTAAAAAAAAAGGGTTAGTACATTGCTGTCACATGTATGTATCTGTAAGTTTGTTGCTATTATGTGTACAAAAATATATGTTTGGTAACAATCCAAATACCAAAATAAGTCCAGGTTGTGATAATAATACTTACTTTTTGCATTTTTTTTCTTTATCTACAGTGTGAAATTTCAATAAACAAACTATAGATAATTTAGACAAAAAATTTGGACAATAACTTTGAAAAATTAAATTATATAGAAAGTTTACTATCTTCAATAGCTTAATTTTAAACTATCAAAGTCTACACATTTATTTACGTGGACCGTGCTAAACACGATCTTTGGAAACACCTAGAAGTTTAGTGACATATAGTTCCATATTGTTATAATGTATTTCAGTTTCCAAAGTGGCCATGACTTTGCATTTTTTTTTCATATCATTATTAATAATACTAATAATTTTTTTTAAAAAAGTAGTTTTGGGATATATTTTTTTTGCTTTTGTGATGAAAGTCTGATAGTCGAAATTCTTCATAAGATGTTTATGGTTCAAACTTTGGCATATCTAAAATATTAATAAAGTTGTGTGAGTGGCCTCCCACATGGACCATGTGACATGTTGATGCGGGTCAATCACATGATACGGTTTACTATATTGTTATAAGAATAAAATCACATGCATAAAATTAACTTTTTAATATAGAGGAAAAACGAACAAAAATGTAATTGATGGTTTTGTCAAATCAATACATGTTAGTTGTATAAAATACAAAACAAAAAATTAATACATTTATGTATGAATTTTGACACGTAACTCATTACTGTAATTACATCTTAGATGTGATATTAAATTTGTGACACCTTAACTCCTTATTTATACATGCTATATTTTTATCACTTCAAGTCATTCAAGTCATCGATAGACGATTAAGAAATTCCTATATGAAGTTTGTTAAGACTTTTGTTGTTTTAGTTTTTTATTTATTAATTTGTACAACTTCCATGGTTTATGGTGGAAAGATCGTTGGAGGGGAGAAGACATTTTGCAGAAATGTAAATGTACGTGCTGCACTTAAAAATGCAAGAACAAATTACATTGCAGCTAAACTTGGTGTCAAACTTGCTGCTATGATAATCAAGAATTTGGGTGGAAAACTTAGTGATCGGGATAAACAGACAAGAGGAAATCATTTAGGTACGTTTATAGGTAATACTCAAGAAATGGCCAATAAGAGGTTAAAAAATGTAGGAAGGGCTATTAATAACCGTGATGGTGGCAACACATCTTAATGAATGATTTACGTGCTTTAGGATATGAAAATGGTGGTGGAAAATAATTATATGTCAAATTTGCATACATTATATCCTCTTTATGTATTATATATTTTTATGTCTAAAAAATCAATAAAATCTTGGGTGCTTCAATATTATCATTAATTTTCATATATATATATATATATATATATATATATATATATATATATATATATATATATATCAAAAATCAAATAGGAACCTGGGAACTTATATTTTTAGCTTTATAAGGAAGAGTGTCTGTGTAATATAAATGTTACTTTTGTCAATTGTGAATTTTAATTAAATCTACTGTAAGGGTATTTATGTCATTTTGAACTTTAACACTAAAAACTATCACTTCTTCATTTAGATCAAATACAACACTTCTTCAATTTAGATTAGTTCTAACACTTCTTCATTTCAAACCATCTCAAACTCTCCCACAACACAAACCCTAACACCACCTCCTTTAGGCTTATCATATTCTCACTGACTTACTCCGATCTACAAATCATCAATTATAGCTTAGATGTTAACTTTATTCTGGCAACACATCAACTGCGACGACTTCACCTTCTTTAAAGAAGGTTATGAATACCACCACAATTGACTCGTTCCTCTGCTGCCTCCCATTACAGAAACCTAGGCGGAACCTTAGACCTACGATAGGGTGAAATGTTGTCACCAGATCTACAACTGTACCAGATCTACCATCATCGCCATCTTTCTTTGCCAAGAACCATCGACCATTGCTGCTTTTTTATGACTGGGCTATCAGCTATGAAGTGGCCCGGTCTGGATTTATGATCTTCAATGGTAGATCTACGATCTCCGACGACAAATCTACAATTTTTGTCTATAGATCTATGATTTACACATCAAGATATAAGAGCTCTGATGAGATTGAGAACTAGAGGTCGGCGTCAACAGCCACCACCATTGTTACCCCATAGTAATGGTGAAACACCTCCAATTTACTTCCATCTCTTTCTCTTTGATCTATGGTGAAACACATTAGGTATGCCGATATTTCTGTTGTTTGTTTTTCCTTTTGTGAAACTATGTATTTAATATTTTAATCTCTTATTTGTTGTTTACTTTTGTTAATATTGGTTTTAGCAATAGTTAAGTTGTTAATCCAATTTTGTTTTCTTTTTTGTTATTATGTTAGTGTTTTCAAAAATAATGTTAATTTAGATTTTAAGTTGTGAATTATGATGTTTTAATGTTTCAATTATTGAATTATGATGTTTTAATGTTTCAATTATTGATTAGTTATTTTAATGTTAGTTTTAACTGTTATTAATAGGAAAATATAAGTTTTAATTTGTTAATACATGAATTTTTATAAGTGCTAAGTTGTAAATGCATGACTTTTTAGAATTTAAGTTGTGAATGCATGATTTTGTATAAAAATATGAGTGTTTCAATGAAAGATATAAGATTTAAGCTATAAATGCAAGGATTTTTTTATAAGTTTTAAAGTTGTACACACATGATTACTTATACATATCTAATTTCTTCAATTAAAAACTTAAGTTTTAAACCGTAAATGCATGATTTATCATAAGTAATAAGTTGTGAATACATGATTTTTTTACAGATCCAAGGAGGGAAAGATGGCGGCAATGGTCACACCGGTGGTTGGAGGCAGCGTGTGACATCCCCAATTTCACGGTCAGAAAAAAATGATTTCGTTTATGCTTTTATAGTAAAACCAGAGTAATCTTTCAAAGAAAAGTGTTGCATAATGTGTTCCCAAAACAAAATATGATAAAGATTTATCAAAGCATTTCCTTAAAGAAATGTATTTTCATTGTATTACAAAACTCGGGATGTCAACATCGATACAGATCAAAAGCATAAACCAAAAGACATCCTAGGCCACAAAACAAAATTGGCCTAAAAAACAACCTAGGCCTTACAACATTCTATTTATTTTCTACTGGCCTAAAATCCATAATCTCTCGTCAGTTCATCCAACTATGCTCTTGCCACTACCTGTAATACAAGAAACTGAATGAGTCAGGCTGGGGAGCCTGGTGAGCATATAGGGTTTTCAACCCACAATAAATAAGTTTATTAATTTTATCAAACCAAACAAACCCGATTACCCGTTCGTGTTATCCTCACTTTATGTCCCTAAATCATCTAATAAAAGGGACCTAGCCTAAAGAATTTCATCGGGGTGACAACACTGCTTAGGGGATTCCTGAGCAATTTATGTCAAATATGGCAACAATGAGGGGGATGGAGTACAACTGGTGAGCACATATTTCAAATAAACACCTACAGGTTGCGAGCCTGCTAGCGTTCCACTGGACTGTCTAGAAAAGTCTTTGGTCGTCATCCATACTCCGCTAGATTACTGGATCATCGTCAAACCGAGGCCTATCATCATTTTATTTCATCACACACCACCTATTACATCTACCCATGTTTTACCCAACATATTTGTAGATATAAAACACATATACAGTTCAGATATGAAAACGAAGTTTAAAATACATATATAGTTTAGATCTGAAAAGTTTAGATCTGAAGTGAGAAAGTCTAGATCTGAAGGAAAAAGTTCATATCTGAAAGAAAAAGTTTAAATCTGAAGGAAAAAGTTCAAATCTGAAAAAAAAAAAGTTTAGATCTGAAAGAAAAAGTTCAGATCTGAAAAGAAAGAGGTTTAGATCTTTTATCCAGCATAGATCTCAAGTAAACAGATAATATATATACACATAACACGTAATTTATATAAAATACTTCATAACTATGTGTAAGATGAAAGTGACTATACACTCACTTGATAAGGTGGTGATTTGGACAGCGTTTCGCTTCTTAAAATGATCTCCTTTGATGAAACTGGGAGGTTTGCTTGAAAATCGGGCTCTGCGGGGGCAGAGTTTCTAAACCGAAAAACTCTTTTTCTCGGAGCCTTCGGGCGCTCTGGGGCCTTCTTCTAATGCTAGGGAGGTTTCCTAGGCTTCGGGGTGGTTTTGGTGGGTAGAGAGAGAGTAGAGAGAGAAAGAAGGTGTAAAAGATGTGAAAAATCCGACAACTCTCGCACCCCTTTTATAGAGGCGAGGCCTCGCATTACGCTGGGCGTACCCTCGGTGGTACGCTGCGCGTAGAGGCACGTGTACGATATTCGGTGGGGCGACGCGGCACGCTTCGGACCGTAGAAGAGAGAAGACCGCTGAACGTATGTGTGACATCCCCATTTTCACGGCCAGAAAAGACCGATTTTGTTTATGCTTGTTTGAAAATTAGAGTAACATTTTAAATAAAAGTGTTGCGGAATTTGTCCCAAAACAAAATATGATAAAGATTTATCAAAAGCATTTCCAAGGAAATGTATTTCATTAAAAGACTCGGGATGTCATGTTCGATACAGATCAAAAGCATAAACAGTACAATATAATCCTTACTACATTATTTCATATCTACAGGCCTATATTCGTAATCCTCATCCAAAACGTCACATCTATGCTCGAGCGCCACTACCTGTAATACATGAAACTGAGTGGGTCAGGCTTGGGAGCCTGGTGAGCACATAGGGTTTTCAACCCACAATAAATAAGTTTATTAATTTCATCAACCAACAATAACCCGATTACCCGTTCCCGTTATCCTCACTTTACGTCCCTAAACACCTATCATAAGGGACCTAGCCTAAGGATCATCATCGGGATGGACACTACTGCTAAGGGGGTTTGTAACATCCCAAAATTCAAGCCCAAAAATTTCATTTTTGATTAATTAATTCATAAAACATTTATTAGAAAATATTGTATAAACACGTCATCTCAAAAAACCAAGTATCATGTTTAAAACCCACAACATAAACAAATGTCATATCAGAGTACAATCCCAGAGAACACCATGCGGAAAATCATGTGTGTGTGTGATGCCATGCTACGCCGCCGGCTCCTTCCCCTTAGACGAAGAGGTACCTGAAACCAAAACTGAAACCGTAAGCACAAAGCTTAGTGAGTTCCCCCATCATACCACATACCATACTATATCATCGGTATCTTTCAACCGGTAACCATTCATCGGTATCTTTCAACCGGTAACCATTCTTCGGTATCTTTCAACCGGTAACTATTCATCGGTATCTTTCACCGGTAACTGGGGACTATTCCACCCCCTACCACTAACATACAATACAAGATATAAGCATACAGTCAGGCATATCCGGGTACTGACCTACCCCTCGGTCCTAAGGACCACTATCAGGGAAAACTATCCCTACCATGCACGTAACATATCATACAGATATAACTCATAACCAAACACATAACCATACCAAGATGAATATCACAAAGACAATCATCTTCTAAATACTCCTCATTGGTGGGCCAGCATTGTGGCCGTAGACCCACCCCTACTGGAAGGTAACTCACCTCGTACAAGTGGCTGCTGATAATCTGTGCGGGAAACCTCCGTCCGCTGCTGCTCCGGAAATCCTCCGGCTACAAACCCCATAAACACTCAGTTAGAAACTGATCTCTATACTTAGGGTAAAATGACCATTTACCCCCAACCAAGTTAAGTCAAAGTCAAAGTCAAAGTCAACTTCCAGTTGACCCGACTCGCCGAGTTGGGCCGTCAACTCGCCGAGTCCCTCACTCTCTACTCGTCCTCATCCGTGACCCTACTCATCGAGTTGGGCCGTCAACTCGACGAGTTCTTCTCTCATTCGAACGCCCCATGAAAACACATCCGACTCGCCGAGTTGATGAACAACTCGTCGAGTTGGCCTTTATCTGATGAACCAGATCTGTCCTCAACTCGCCGAGTTGATGAACAACTCGCCGAGTTCTAAGGAGATTGCCTTGGACTCGCCGAGTCCGTTCATGCACTCGCCGAGTCCCATGAACTTCCAGCACAATGGCTTAGTCCAGAACGTTGGGTCACTCCCTAGGACCCCCTTAAAACCTTTCCACACTCAACTGGGTTCTTTTGACCCTCAACAGAAAGGGCAAAACCCTTAGACTCGC